ACTTCTTCTCAATAACCAAAAGGCCCAGGGTACTGATATTGGGCCTGTAGCATGCTGGGATGAAGGACTATCAAGTTTATTCAAATGAATGACCTTGACCAACTTTCGAGGTCACAGGGGTCAAATGTTGTAAAATCTTCAAGCGACTTCTTCTCAATAACCAAAAGGCCCAGGGTACTGATATTGGGCCTGTAGCATGCTGGGATGAAGGGCTATCAAGTTTGTTCAACTGAATGACCTTGACCAACTTTCAAGGTCACAGGGTCAAATGTCGTAAAATCTTCAATGAACTTCTTTTCAATAAGCAAAAGGGCCAGGGTACTGAAATTGGGCCTGTAGCATGCTGGGATGAAGGACTACCATGTTAGTTCAAATGAATGACCTTGATCCACTTTCAACCTAATGTCCTTGTTCAACAATTAAGGTCAGAGGCGTCATATGTTTTAATCTTTTAATAGGTTCTTATGAAATCTTAAGATTACAAGTGTTAGATTAATAACAGGTGAGCGATGCAGGCCCATTGGGCCTCTTGTTTGTATTACTGGTCTCTCCTATCTCTCAGTTTAGTTTGTGCAATACCTATCGAACTAACGCTTGTTTTGTTTATTACAGGGTACCGATTCCTGGTCGCTACCACAGCCTTGATTAATGGCAGTACATGGCTGAACTCCCTGGTGGAGAAGTGAACAACACACCATTTGATTTAAATGCAAACCAGTCATGACAGTGACTGATGGGTAACGTTAACGCAAACAATTCATTGGTAGTAGGAGGTCACGAAAGGTCACTTGTCCCATGAACCTTGCACAAGTTGTGACTGCAACCAATGAATGTCAAATTTGAAACTTGGACAATCGATCAATTGCAGTATAAACATTGTTTGCCGTGTTAACGGTATATCATACCCAAGGGAGTTTAGTCTGGCGTGTCTGATCACACAAGTGTCGTGCTTGAAATCAGTCATGTTAATGATTGTTGATGGTATAAATAGTTCAAAGGGATGCAATGCAGTAATTAAGCAAAGATAAAACGCAAAAATGACCAAAAATTGTTACAATGGTGATGAGGTTGTATACCTTTGTGTATTTACGACATTTAGTCACATAAAACGGGAGCAAACCATGTATTCAGATCGAAGATAATAATGAAATTTTACGGACAGGCTAAATTAGGCAGACTTAGTTACGACTGAAAATGTTCTGACATTCCTTAAGCTTTCAGTCCTACAGATTAGAGCAGAGAAAGTTGTGGATGGGGGTCCATTGTGATTGGTCAATCATCAATTTAAGCAAGAATTGGTTCAGACTGCTTGAAATGAGATTGATGACTCCATATAAAGTTATATAGATCAAAACCTGTTAAGCCTTATGTTTGCAAGTTAACGAATTCTTATGTTTGGGGTAATTTTGAAAATAGACTGAAACAATTTTTTAATTGTTCAAAAGGGACATTTGTATACACTAAAACACTTTGTTTATTTTACATATATATAAAAGTCGTTTTGAAAGTTGAGCTGTTGACACACCAAGTAATTACTCAGATTGAACCTTGGAGGCCTCGTTACAGTAACCCTCTGTTATCTGGTTATGTTTTAACCTGCTGTTTGAATGCGGTGATTACTCAATATGGGTCATGCTTGTCCAACATTGACATAATACTTCCACATCCGGTTACGACAGGAGGCAGGCCAGAAAGGGACAGTCCTTTACTTATAACGTGCACATTCCTTACTGGTGTGCTCGTGGGGCTAAAATTGATCGAAGGGCCAGAAATATGATGCAAAATCCAGTCAGTGTGACTGATGGGTCCACACTTGTATGTAAATACAGACAGATTGTTGGACAAACAAAAGATATATTATCATGTTCTAAAGTGAGAGAGTACACCAACTCATGGATGCTTTCTATCATTCGTGTTTGAAATTATTCGATAAACTCTGCTCAGAAGCGCCACATATTCTGAACCAAACGTTGAAATCGTGGATTACTTGGTTGACTTGTTTTCGTAAGGTTAAGGGTTTTTTATGTTAAAAAAATTATGAACAAATTAGATGTGGGATTTTTGGTTTATTTGTGTTAGACTAGTGTATAAGAGTTATTTAAAATCGTATCCAAAGGTACTCTTTGTGGCAAACTTTAAAAAGAAGCAATACCAAACTAACTTTCCGAAAAATATATGGCTGAACAGCAGTCGCAAGCATGCTCACCGGAGCCAAGCATGCTCACCGGAGCTGCTGAAATTTGACGAACAGTGCTACAATTAAAGGACTTCTACTTTACCACAATGCCTGAACCTTTTTTGTACACAGTAAACGTATGTATGTGGTGTTGTCGAATTTTAAATGCAACATTTTTTTACTGATTTCCCTGAAAATATATTAAGTATTACCTATTTATTGGTATTAAAACCTAACATATCAAAATGTTCCACGGCTTTTCACAAACTTCTCAGCAATGTCACGAGGACAACTAATCACTATTGTTAAGTGGTCTACATGTACAGGATATGAACACTTCGTCGTGCATTGATCCTCAGTTACAGCGTTCCAAATAATTGTGATATTTTTGTTATCATTAACATTTTATTGTTTTGTGTTTCAAATACATTGTTGTTTTGTCACCCATTGTTATATGACGATTGTTACCAGTATGGCTTAGATTTCTGAGGAAGTTACATTGTTGCTATACTCGCTACCTGAAAGTTATTCTTTGTCATTCTGATCGAGACCATTTAAGGCGTTTAAGTAAATTTTGAACTCCACGAAATAACACTAAAATTTGACCCTGCAAAATGAAATCGCTCTGTATACTAAGCGTTGTCGTAAGGACACAACACAGCTGTCATCACCACTTGTATTGGCATCGTATTTATAACAGTGACTGACCTTCAGTAGATGTTAGTATATTTGTTCACAGAAACATATTTGGGCATATTCGATTCTTGGAAAACGTAAAAACATAAATAAATAAATGATCGTAATAATCTTTAAAAAAATTTTTTTTTTTTTTTATTTATTTTACACATTTTCCTAATTTAGATATGTACTGTATCTCTGATAATGAGAAGCATGTGAGGTCACACTTATTGGATTACTAGTATATATACTACATGTTGTATACTATTTCCGAGTTTTATGGGTGTCTGAAGTTCCTCACGATACACGCTGAGTTTGTGTTCATCATTTATTGTTGTTGATATGGTACTGCTACGTTGTATGTAGTTGTTTTCCTGTTTCGTCGATGTCAAACTAATAGAACCCAGGGTTCGTTTTTGTGTTTTGAAGAACAGGTTTGCGTAATAATTGATGATTTTCAGTAATATTCGCTGGTTTATATTGTAGATAATACCACATCCTGGCTCCTCCTAATCGTCGTATAGTGGTTATCGTGTTATGTTTCCATGCAGAAACATATCTTAATCCTGTTCTTTTCGTTTGCAATATTTTATACATTTTTTTTTTAAATTATTAAACAACACACGCGAAGCATTTGCAGTGAACTTGTTTTGTTTATTTCCGATGTCTTACGTGAGACAGGTCTAACCAAGGCTGATCAGTATGTGATAGTTACCAGAGATATGCAGTGAACTTGTTTTGTTTATTTCCGATGTCTTACGTGAGACAGGTCTAACCGAGGCTGATCAGTATGTGATAGTCACCAGAGATATGGATTTGATGAACAATTGTATACTTAAAATAATAAAGATTTGTTTCATTTTTGTGTTTAATATTGTTAATGGAGACTTACCCAGATTTATACATTATATTGTTAATTAACCACCACTTGCTTGATGTAAACTCTTAATTGTATTAAAGACTTGCCGATTTTTCTCCAAAACTCTCGGCAGTCAAAGTAACCGGAATTCCTGTCACTGACATGCCCACTGGGCCCTTGGCCTGAGAATAGCAGCTTTCAACTTATCATTTTCAAAAATCTTCCAATACTTTTACGTAATTCTCTATACTCATACTTATTGTCGCCGCAATGGCAGAGGGAAAATCTCGTAACTTATCTTTAATCTCTTACAGTTTTTACCAAAAAAATGTGAAAAATTCTTAATCTCATGTTTTAAATTATCCCATCAAACTCAGTTCAACGTCATACCATCTACATTTTCGGTTTCCTTTATTATACATGCATTTCCAACAAAAACATATCACTAGGAATCCGACTTTGACCTCTACTTTAATGCACAATCGACTAAGATGATCACTGAATGACATGGCATTGTAAAATATACCCTACCAAGGCATTGTTTCTTTATCGACCGTTTACTCCCACTACAACCTACCTATCAGCCGTTTATTCCCACTACAACCTAACCTACCAAGGCATTGTTTTTATATCAGCCGTTTATTCCCACTACAACCTAACCTACCAAGGCATTGTCTCTTTATCGACCGTTTGCTCCCACTACAACCTGCCCTATCAAGGCATTGTTTCTTTATCGACCGTTTGCTCCCACTACAACCTACCTATCAGCCGTTTATTCCCTCTACAACCTACCCTATCAAGGCATTGTTTCTATATCAGCCGTTTACTCCAAGATGATCACTGAATGACATGGCATTGTAAAATATACCCTCCCAAGGCATTGTTTCTATATCAGCCGTTTATTCCCTCTACAACCTACCCTACCAAGGCATTGTTTCTATATCAGCCGTTTATTCCCACTACAACCTACCCTACCAAGGCATTGTTTCTATATCAGCCGTTTACTCCCACTACAACCTACCCTATCAAGGCATTGTTTCTATATCAGCCGTTTACTCCCACTACAACCTACCCTATCAAGGCATTGTTTCTATATCAGCCGTTTACTCCCACTACAACCTACCCTATCAAGGCATTGTTTCTATATCAGCCGTTTACTCCCACTACAACCTACCCTATCAAGGCATTGTTTCTATATCAGCCGTTTACTCCCACTACAACCTACCCTATCAAGGCATTGTTTCTATATCAGCCGTTTACTCCCACTACAACCTACCCTATCAAGGCATTGTTTCTATATCAGCCGTTTACTCCCACTACAACCTACCCTATCAAGGCATTGTTTCTATATCAGCCGTTTACTCCCACTACAACCTACCCTATCAAGGCATTGTTTCTATATCAGCCGTTTACTCCCACTACAACCTACCCTATCAAGGCATTGTTTCTATATCAGCCGTTTACTCCCACTACAACCTACCCTATCAAGGCATTGTTTCTATATCAGCCGTTTACTCCCACTACAACCTACCCTATCAAGGCATTGTTTCTATATCAGCCGTTTACTCCCACTACAACCTACCCTATCAAGGCATTGTTTCTATATCAGCCGTTTACTCCCACTACAACCTACCCTATCAAGGCATTGTTTCTATATCAGCCGTTTACTCCCACTACAACCTACCCTATCAAGGCATTGTTTCTATATCAGCCGTTTACTCCCACTACAACCTACCCTATCAAGGCATTGTTTCTATATCAGCCGTTTACTCCCACTACAACCTACCCTATCAAGGCATTGTTTCTATATCAGCCGTTTACTCCCACTACAACCTACCCTATCAAGGCATTGTTTCTATATCAGCCGTTTACTCCCACTACAACCTACCCTATCAAGGCATTGTTTCTATATCAGCCGTTTACTCCCACTACAACCTACCCTATCAAGGCATTGTTTCTATATCAGCCGTTTACTCCCACTACAACCTACCCTATCAAGGCATTGTTTCTATATCAGCCGTTTACTCCCACTACAACCTACCCTATCAAGGCATTGTTTCTATATCAGCCGTTTACTCCCACTACAACCTACCCTATCAAGGCATTGTTTCTATATCAGCCGTTTACTCCCACTACAACCTACCCTATCAAGGCATTGTTTCTATATCAGCCGTTTACTCCCACTACAACCTACCCTATCAAGGCATTGTTTCTATATCAGCCGTTTACTCCCACTACAACCTACCCTATCAAGGCATTGTTTCTATATCAGCCGTTTACTCCCACTACAACCTACCCTATCAAGGCATTGTTTCTATATCAGCCGTTTACTCCCACTACAACCTACCCTATCAAGGCATTGTTTCTATATCAGCCGTTTACTCCCACTACAACCTACCCTATCAAGGCATTGTTTCTATATCAGCCGTTTACTCCCACTACAACCTACCCTATCAAGGCATTGTTTCTATATCAGCCGTTTACTCCCACTACAACCTACCCTATCAAGGCATTGTTTCTATATCAGCCGTTTACTCCCACTACAACCTACCCTATCAAGGCATTGTTTCTATATCAGCCGTTTACTCCCACTACAACCTACCCTATCAAGGCATTGTTTCTATATCAGCCGTTTACTCCCACTACAACCTACCCTATCAAGGCATTGTTTCTATATCAGCCGTTTACTCCCACTACAACCTACCCTATCAAGGCATTGTTTCTATATCAGCCGTTTACTCCCACTACAACCTACCCTATCAAGGCATTGTTTCTATATCAGCCGTTTACTCCCACTACAACCTACCCTATCAAGGCATTGTTTCTATATCAGCCGTTTACTCCCACTACAACCTACCCTATCAAGGCATTGTTTCTATATCAGCCGTTTACTCCCACTACAACCTACCCTATCAAGGCATTGTTTCTATATCAGCCGTTTACTCCCACTACAACCTACCCTATCAAGGCATTGTTTCTATATCAGCCGTTTACTCCCACTACAACCTACCCTATCAAGGCATTGTTTCTATATCAGCCGTTTACTCCCACTACAACCTACCCTATCAAGGCATTGTTTCTATATCAGCCGTTTACTCCCACTACAACCTACCCTATCAAGGCATTGTTTCTATATCAGCCGTTTACTCCCACTACAACCTACCCTATCAAGGCATTGTTTCTATATCAGCCGTTTACTCCCACTACAACCTACCCTATCAAGGCATTGTTTCTATATCAGCCGTTTACTCCCACTACAACCTACCCTATCAAGGCATTGTTTCTATATCAGCCGTTTACTCCCACTACAACCTACCCTATCAAGGCATTGTTTCTATATCAGCCGTTTACTCCCACTACAACCTACCCTATCAAGGCATTGTTTCTATATCAGCCGTTTACTCCCACTACAACCTACCCTATCAAGGCATTGTTTCTATATCAGCCGTTTACTCCCACTACAACCTACCCTATCAAGGCATTGTTTCTATATCAGCCGTTTACTCCCACTACAACCTACCCTATCAAGGCATTGTTTCTATATCAGCCGTTTACTCCCACTACAACCTACCCTATCAAGGCATTGTTTCTATATCAGCCGTTTACTCCCACTACAACCTACCCTATCAAGGCATTGTTTCTATATCAGCCGTTTACTCCCACTACAACCTACCCTATCAAGGCATTGTTTCTATATCAGCCGTTTACTCCCACTACAACCTACCCTATCAAGGCATTGTTTCTATATCAGCCGTTTACTCCCACTACAACCTACCCTATCAAGGCATTGTTTCTATATCAGCCGTTTACTCCCACTACAACCTACCCTATCAAGGCATTGTTTCTATATCAGCCGTTTACTCCCACTACAACCTACCCTATCAAGGCATTGTTTCTATATCAGCCGTTTACTCCCACTACAACCTACCCTATCAAGGCATTGTTTCTATATCAGCCGTTTACTCCCACTACAACCTACCCTATCAAGGCATTGTTTCTATATCAGCCGTTTACTCCCACTACAACCTACCCTATCAAGGCATTGTTTCTATATCAGCCGTTTACTCCCACTACAACCTACCCTATCAAGGCATTGTTTCTATATCAGCCGTTTACTCCCACTACAACCTACCCTATCAAGGCATTGTTTCTATATCAGCCGTTTACTCCCACTACAACCTACCCTATCAAGGCATTGTTTCTATATCAGCCGTTTACTCCCACTACAACCTACCCTATCAAGGCATTGTTTCTATATCAGCCGTTTACTCCCACTACAACCTACCCTATCAAGGCATTGTTTCTATATCAGCCGTTTACTCCCACTACAACCTACCCTATCAAGGCATTGTTTCTATATCAGCCGTTTACTCCCACTACAACCTACCCTATCAAGGCATTGTTTCTATATCAGCCGTTTACTCCCACTACAACCTACCCTATCAAGGCATTGTTTCTATATCAGCCGTTTACTCCCACTACAACCTACCCTATCAAGGCATTGTTTCTATATCAGCCGTTTACTCCCACTACAACCTACCCTATCAAGGCATTGTTTCTATATCAGCCGTTTACTCCCACTACAACCTACCCTATCAAGGCATTGTTTCTATATCAGCCGTTTACTCCCACTACAACCTACCCTACCAAGGCATTGTTTCTATATCAGCCGTTTACTCCCACTACAACCTACCCTATCAAGGCATTGTTTCTATATCAGCCGTTTACTCCCACTACAACCTACCCTACCAAGGCATTGTTTCTATATCAGCCGTTTACTCCCACTACAACCTACCCTATCAAGGCATTGTTTCTATATCAGCCGTTTACTCCCACTACAACCTACCCTACCAAGGCATTGTTTCTATATCAGCCGTTTACTCCCACTACAACCTACCCTATCAAGGCATTGTTTCTATATCAGCCGTTTACTCCCACTACAACCTACCCTACCAAGGCATTGTTTCTATATCAGCCGTTTACTCCCACTACAACCTACCCT